AAAGACCCCAAAGAAAAGTAGCCAGCTTCTTGGTTAAAACTCACAATGTCCTTGGGCCTCTTAGAAACATACTCCATTCCAAAGGCCAAAAATGTCTAAAGTATTTGGGAGCTCTTATCTAATCCTTAAAAGATTTTTGGGGCTACGTCTTCAGAGGGGGGAATGTTAGAGTAGCAAAAAGCTGCATTAAAAAAAAAAAAGAAGAATACATGAAGTTATCAGAAAAAAGTGATGGGGTGATATGAGAGGAGTTGGAGGAGAGGGAGTGAGCATGGATTTGATCAAAATACCTTATATGTTTATATCCCTGTATGAAATTCTCAATAAATTATTTTTTTAAAAAGTCATTAATACAGGGTGAATGAAAATAAATTGCAAGTGCCTGGTGTTTTTCCAGTGCCCTAACTCATTCTGGCAATTCAGAGAATATTCTCTACACCATAAAAATGATACAGCTAAATATTAAAATGGGCTATCCATACTGTGAGTTTTAAAATATTAAAACTTTATGTATGCCAGAAGTTATGATGGTCACTTTAAAGGTAAAATCTCAACGGTCTTACCAAAACAAATACCACAGTTAATTAAAAACACTTCTGTTCATTTATTTATTTATTTGGTCTTTTTGAGACAGGGTCTCCCTGTAGCCCCAGCTGGCCTGGAACTCACTATGTAGACCAGGCTGGCCTTGAATTCACAGAGATCCCCCTGCCTCTGCCTCCCGAGTGCTGGGATTAAAGGCGTGTGCCACCACACCCGGCCTAAAAACACTTTAAAACAGTAATAAGCCAGTAAGGGAGCTGATTCAGATTCAGGACTGAAATGATACATTCCTCCGAAGTTTTCAAACCAGATCTCTCACCTCCACCTAAGAAGGAAAACATGAAATTATCAGTAATTCAAAAGGATACAAAAGGAATACCCTTACACAAAGCAAGCCAGTATCCAAATAGTTTAGCATACACCTATGTGGAAATTAACCAGAATCAGCTCAGAGAGAAGATTAAGGGATCATGCCCTGGTCAAAGCCAGTGCTGAGGCCATGGCAATACCAGGTCAGACTATACTTCACTCATCATCGCATCATTTTGTTTCACTTCTTGGACCACAGGGCAGCCCAGTCTGTTTCCACATCGAAGAAAATGTAGGCTTACCTATGAAGAGTAAATGCTGCATTCTTGGGTGTTTCAATCTTGAACTTTTTGATATATATCTTCTACTATGCTCTAAGTAACTGCTATACAAAAGAAATGCAACTTTGAACAAGTTTTTGCTTAGGGGAGACTTTCTTATTGTCACAGGACAGAGAGTGGTGAAATATTTACCATTCAAAAACATTTTGGGGGAGCTGGAGAGATGGCTCAGCAGCTAAGAGCACTGGCTGCTCTAGCCAAAGACCTGGGTTCCATTCCTAGAACCTACATGGCAGCTAACAACTGTCTATAGCTCCAGTTCCAGAGGAATCTCACCTCTGTGGGCACTGCATGCACGGGGGCACTAACATACATGCAGAGAAAACACTCATAGACATAAAAATAAATCAAAAGATTAAAAAAATAAAAACACAAAACATTTTTTGTTTAAGATGAGCCCAAACTCTGTTATCTTGGGGATGCCTGTAGTGAGACATATAACCTATTTTTTTTTTTTTTTGTCTTTTTGAGACAGGGTCTCTCTGTAGCCCCAGCTGTCCTGGAACTCACTATGTAGACCAGGCTGGCCTCGAACTCATAGAGATCCACCTGCCTCTGCCTCCCAAGTGCTGGCAGTAAAGGCATGGGCCACCATACCCGGCTATAACCTAGTTTTAAAGCAGAAGCTTTAGAACTAGGAGAGAGCTGAGATCTGAATGCCAGATTTACATTTTTTCCACTACTAGCTTCCAGACTCCAGCTTGATGAGGGAAGCTATTTCTTTCTTTCCTTCCTTCCTTCCTTCCTTCCTTCCTTCCTTCCTTCCTTCCTTCCTTCCTTCCCTCCCTCCCTCCCTCCCTCCCTCCTTCCTTCATTTTAAAATTTCATCTTGTGTGTGTTGTGTGGGTGTCATGGTACCTGTGTGGAGGTCAGAGGACAACTTTCAGGAGTCAGTTCTCTCTTTCCACCATGTGGGTCCTGGGGATCAAATTCAGGTTCTTTGGCCATCCATAAATGTAAATAGACTTAGACTTCAATAGTTAAAATGTGTCTGCTTTCCATCTGTTTGCCTTTCAGCAATTAAACTCCATAAAGAGAAGGGAACTAACTAGGTGCCTGCCATAAAAGTCTGCTTTATTTACCACTTCACTATGTAGCTCATCATCCAACAGGTAAAACAGACACACATTAAAAAACTGAAATAAAATGTGTGTGTGTATACATGTGTATTCCTGATTTTCCTGCCTCTGCCTCCCAAGTACTGAGATTACAGGTGTGTAACACTACGTCTGGCTGAGAGAGATTAACTTAAATAACTACCTCAAATCATGAAACCTATAAGGAATGCCAAGCTCAGAACCAAATAGTAACTGACTTGTTTTGGGGTTTTTTTGAGACAGGGTCTCCCTGTAGCCCCAGCTGGCCTGGAAGTAACTATGTAGACCAGGCTGGCTTTGAACTCACAGAGATCCACCTGCCTCTGCCTCCCGAGTGCTGGGATTTAACCACCATGCCCAGCCTTGCCTTTTTTTTTTTCTTAAAGATTTGAGTCTTACGTAGCCTTGCTGAGATGAGGCTAGTCTCCCATTTATAGAGATACACCTGCCTCTGTCTCCTAAGTGGTGGGATTAAAGGCTTCTACCACCATGCCCAGCTAAAGCCCATCTTCCTTCTGTCTGACAACATTGGAGAATCAATGGGTCTCCTGCCTCTATTTACCTTCTGCTCCAAAATATACTCATGCTTTAAATATGGAGATGTGATTAAACCATTACAAGCATTCAATTGGTCTCCAAGGTCCAGGAAATAAAACCCAAACTACTCTACTTAGCAATCAAGGTGTTTCAAAATTGACCCATGAATAAAGTCCTGAGTCAATTCCAGCACCAAAAAAAACACAATCAGGTATAGTAGTAGTAGATTGCATTTGCAATCCTACTGCTTGGGAGGCTGAGGCAGGAGGATCATGAATTCGAGGCCAGCCCTGGCTACAGAGGAAGACCCGTCTTCAAAACAAACCAAAATGACGTTACCCTTTAATAACACAACCCTAACATGAATCTTACAGACCACTCAAGCCAGACTATTTCCACATCCTCAAATCTGTTCTATTTGACCTATGTGATCCAGACATGTCAAGTTCACCCAGGCTTCTACCATACCCATTGGGAATGTCTTCTCAGTTCTCTGCCTCTGGACAGTTTAGTTTGCTCCACCTGCGGTGTCTTCCCTCACTCCCCTCAATGAGAGAAAACTTAAGTATACTTTTAGAACTCAAATGTCACCTTTTCGGTTAAGTGCCCTTAACTCCCTTGGTCAGTCTCCTCCGACTTCCACAGCTTTTTCTTCTACCAAAACCAACTATTCACCAAGTAACCCGTGAAAACAGCCCTCTCTCTCACCAGCCCCATCTCACTGAATTCCTTTAGAACCACGCAGTATTTTACGTGCCTGCAAACAGGGGTTCAATAAATAACCTCAGTGAGCCACCTCCCTACCAAGCCCTATAGAAAAACAGCAGCACAGTTTATAAATCCAGCTTACCTCCAACTTGTCACGCGGGTTAAGTGCATACTTCGGGCATCTCCAAACCCTCATTTCCCCATCCTCTGCCTTATGAAGCTCTGCACAGGGTCCTTTGCAGGCCAGCCAAAGCTTATACCCAGTAGACCCTCAAAACAAAAAGGATGCAAACTCCACCAATTTCAGGTGACCGAGCCCATCCTGGCTGGGCAGGAGCTGGACCCGGGCACACCGCCCGGTATCCGCAGTCCCCCTGCGCCCGGACCCTCGGGACGCTTGTGCGGGATGCGGGACCCAAGAAAGCGAGTTCCGGAACAGGCCGCCCAGCCACACTGTCTTCCCGCGCCCGCTCCCTCTGCCTCCGCTGGCTCATCCCACAGCGCAGCGCGCCACGCAGCCAATCCCGCGGCAGCCCGGATATCACGTGAGCATCTGGGAGGCGGGGCTGGCAGGAAGAGGCGGTCCTGGAGGCAGAAGCGAACGTCCCCGTTGCCGCTCTGAGTCGGGCCTCTGTTCTGGGAGTCAGCCCTGTCGCTGTCTGTTCAGGGAGCATGGCCTTTTCGTTCTTTCACTCAGCAATTCCCTATCCTCAGACTGTTACGCTTAGTGACGTTGCCCAGGCCTTGTTCACAGCTGGGGAAGGGCCTCGGAGGTCCGGGTCGAGGAGTGAAGGATGTGTGCGCGCCTGAGCGAGCCAGTCCGGGGGTAGCTCATTGGGTGGACGGGCTCTTGGACGTCGTCTATATAAAAAACATATGCCCTAATAAAAGTGCAACTAATATCAAAGAAATGGGGAGGTGAGCAGGAAGGAGTTCTGGGAGGAGGCATTTTGTTTGGGTCTTGAAAAATCAACGAGATTTGAAAATTAGGATTTAAAAACTTTTTGAAAAATTTGTTTGTATTTAATGTGTATGAGTGCATTGCTTGCATGTGTGTAAGTGTACGTGCACCCGTGCTGTGCAATACCCAGGGAGGTCGGGGGAGGGTGTCGAATCCCCTGGAACTGGAGTTTCAGATGGTTGTTAGCCGCCTTGTGGGTGCTGGGAACTGAACCCAGGTCCTCTGCAAGAGCAGTCAGTGCTCTTAAGAGCTGAGCCATCTCACCATCACCAGCCCCAGGACTTTTTTTTTTTTTTTTTTTTTTTTTGAGACGAAGTCTACCTGTGTAGTCCCAGCTGAACTGGAACTCACTGTGTAGATCAGGCTGGCCTCGAACTCAGAGATCTGCCTGCCTCTCCCTCCAGCGTTCTGGGGTTTAAAAGCTTGGTTCACCATGTCCAGCCAGAGTTAGGATTCTAAGTGAAGGAATAATTTAAGACCTGGAATTAGATGAGAAAGCAAGTTTGCCAAATTTAAGCAAAACTGATAAAGCCATTGAGTTGCTTCTCAAAATTCTGTGAACTTTTTGGTTTAAAAACACCAAGGGAGATCTGTTAATACAGATGTCATCCCCCATGAAAAGTAAATAGTAAAGAGGCTGGAGAGATGACTCAGTGGTTAAGAGTACTTACTGTTCTTCCAGACCATCCAGGTTTGGTTCCCAGGACCCATCTTTGTTTTTTTTAGACAGGGTCTAATTTTGTAGCCCTGACTGGCCTGGAACTTGTTATATAGACCAGGATAGCTTCAAACTCACAGAGACCCACCTGCCTCTGCCTTCTGAGTGCTGGGTTTAAAGGGCGGGCCACCACACCCAGCCAAGACACTTTTTTTGTTTTTTGAGACAGGGTCTCCCTGTAGCCCCAGCTGGCCTGGAACGCATGTAGACCAGGCTGGCCTTGAACTCACAGAGATCCACCTGCCTCTGCCTCCTGAGTCCTGGGACCAAAGGCATGTGCCACCATGTCTGGCAAGATACATATTTTTAATAAACACTTCAGAAGTGATTCTGATTCACAACAAAGTTTAAGACTCTTGTTGGTATTTTTGACCTAGTAGATTAGAAAGACTTTGAGAAAGAGGCCAGCTGGCTGGATGTGGAGTTCAGGATACTCAAAGTGGGAGCACTGAAGATTTCCAAGGCCAAGTCCTTAGGTAATTAGAGCTGTAATTAAGGAAACTTAATCTAAAGATGTGTTTAGATTACAACAAGACAGAGAGCAAAAGCCATGGGAGGTATCTAAAGGTAAGAGCTAAGAAGAGCCTAAAAGATAATGGTAGAATGGAGAGGTTGTGAAGGAAGACTGTGATGAGTGTCAGAGGGTCAGGCAGGACAGGAGAGTGAAAGGGAAGAATGTAAAGGAACAAAGTGTCTTCCTTGGGTGTTAAGGACGGAAGAGGTTAGACAGCGAGGACAGCATGCCTTTGCATGTGCTGTTTCCTCTACTGATCTTTCTCCTTTCTGTTTCCCTTCTCAGTGTGGTTCTAGCTCATCATCACGTCATTTAGGAAATCTCTCATGGTTCTCACAAGCACTTTTATTGTCACTCCTCATGACAGCACACACTGCTCATACATCGCTAGCTTTCCAGAGTGGCTCGAGTGCATTAGTTATGGATATAGATTATACTTAAACTTTCGGTTCTTCAGTTTCCCTTCTGTAGAAAAGGAAAAAAAAAAGATTAATAGCATCTAACCCACAGAGCTGTTCTTGAATGAAGGCAATGTCTAGTGCATTCATCCCTCAATTGATGGTAATAAATTAATATGTTTTCCCTCTATAGATTGTGAATGGGACACGTCTTATTCTTCCAACTGTCAACAAGGTGGTGTAGCAGAAAGAGGATAGATGGACTTTCAATACAGATAGACCAGTGTTCAAATCCCAGCTCTCTTTACTAGATGAATAACCTGGAATTTGATCTTGTTGAACTTTTGTCATTTATAAGATAGTGAAAATAATGCATGTCTTTCAAGTTATCAGGCTTACATAAGAGAATAAAAGCATATTTGGCCCATCTAAGGCAGTCACTAAATGGCAGTTTTTATTTTGGTGTGACATCCCAGAGGCTATTATGTTTGGAACATAGTAATTGCTCAGTAGCTGATTATTAAAGACACTATATGCCCAGTGCAATGTAAGGATCTTTTGTATCTCACTTCTTTTCCATGCACTGAATAAGGCAGCATTATCTCTTATTTACACAGAAACATTCTGAGACTTAAGTAAGCTAAATAAAGTCTACCAGCTAGAATGTGGCAGAAACAGGATTTGAACACTCTAGGTATCCCCAAAGTAGCCAACTGAATGAAAGAATGAAAGTTAACTGGGCACAGTGGGGCATGCCTTTAAGTCCAATCTGGTATACACAGGCCAACTGGAGCTACAGGGAGACCCTATCTCAAAACAACAACAACAACAACAAAAAAGAATGAATGAAAGTAAGGAAACTCACCTAGAGTTAGGAAATGGTCAGGACCATTGGTCTTTGTAATTGGGCTATTTATACCCTTCCAGTCATCTCTCTGAAAGAACTGAGGGTGAAGTTGAGGCACCTGGGACTCAAAAGACCAGTTCTTCCCCTTACCAGTCATTTGATACTTTATATGTGGCAAGCACACAGAATGTACTGTAAACTATCATGGCCGATAAATAGGAGTGCAGAAGGATTACATCTTAAATAAACAGGGAATTCTAGTTCTTAGTGAGCCATCACTAACATGACCAAATAACTTTCCCAAACATCCAGGAATATATGCTATATTCAAGCTACTGATTTCAAGTTGTTTTGTGTCAAGAACATTTACTTTACAGATATCAAAGCCAAGATGTGAGGTCTTCCCTGGCCTGACAAACTATTTATATCCAGGAGACTTAAAACTAAGGAGATTTTATGAAGGAAAAGAACCCCTCTTTACCATTTTCCCTATTATCCCCTTTCCTGATGATTTGATCCCCCATAGTGCATTGCAAAAGAATAAAAAAGGAACCACAATCCTATTCTTAGCACTCCGGCCCAGATTATATTCTTCCTGTTGAGTGGGAAGAGAAAAAGAAGGTACTGAGGGAAACTTTTGACTTTTAACGCTCTCAAGCAACCCAGGATCCCAAACTCAGAAGGCCACTCAAATTAGACAAATCTGGTTCTAAACCCCAGCTCTTTTGTTAGCTTGCTTTAGTCTCACTTTCCATGTGGTGTGCAGATAGTCTCCAGCATTGGGTACAATTAGGTGAGGCTGAGAATTAAGAGTGATATAATAAGTAAGACTGAATTCAGAAGTTAAAGCTGAAGCTGGGAACAGGCCTTAGGCACTTATGTTGCAGGACTGACCATGTCAGGGTACCCATTGTGCATCCTGTCCTGGAAATTCCATTCAGCCAGACATGTGCAAAGAGTAACCTGCAATCAGAATTTTGCAGGGCAGTAGCCTCAAGTTAACAACAACAATGAAATAAAAGTGTCCAGAGGCCTACTTAAAAATGTTACTTCATGGCCGTGCGTGGTGGCGCACGCCTTTAATCCCAGCACTTGGGAGGCAGAGGCAGGTGGATCTCTGTGAGTTTGAGGCCAGCCTGGTCTACATAGTGAGTTCTAGGTCAAATGGGGCTACAGGGAGACCCTGTCTCAGAAAGACCAAAATAAAAAAATGTTACTTCACATAAACAAATTGAAGCAGAAACACAATATTGTTCAATGGCTTGTCTTTTGTTCTTTTTTTTCATTTATTTATGAGTTGGTTTCATATAGCTCAAGCTGGCCTTGAACTCTTGATCCTCCTGACTTGACCTCCCAAGTACTGGGATTACAGACATGTATCACCAACCTGGCTTAATGGTTTGCTTTAAAGACGGAACTGTATTATTTTCTTCTAACTTTCACATCAAATTACCATGAACTCGGTGGCTTAAAATAACAATTTTTATTTAATAGCCACATAGTTAGAAGAAGCATTTCATTTCAGCTTTAACATATTCAATAACAATTTCCAGAGCAAAGATACATCCCTTTCAAAAGTGGCTGTAAATTTTTAGGTTCACAGTTGAATTAATACAGCTACAGTTATACAATACTGAACTCTAACCCTGTATGTAAGACATAAAATTGAATGAATTTTTAACCTTTAAAAAAGATCTCCATTTCATTTTAAAATATACTGTTTCTTACAGATAGACTCATTTTTAATGATACTAACACTTAGATGTTTACACATGCATCTCTAATTATGTATCTGATTATTACTAGTCACAGTCAGTTACACTCAGATCCTTGGCACCTGAGTATGGATATAAAGTCATCAGGTAGATTTCAGTGGTAATGTTTATCATCTCTACTAATTAACATGAAGTAATGTTTTTATGCTTCCTCCTCAAATACAGCTCATTTTTTATTTGTTGATTTTTTTTGTGTGTATATCATAAAGAACATCCCAAACAATCTTATTCATCCATATACCCACTTCCCAAAAGGCATCCTCCCACAGCT